TGGTGGACCCTCAGTAACGTGTGTTGAGTAATTTTGTTAGGAACATTGGTACTCATCTGTCGTCTCACGATTGTGTGAGTCAGATGAACTCTTAGGAAATAAATGCACATCTAAATTTTTGAAAGATGGCTAAATTTCCCCCACAATAAGTTTGTAATCATTTCCATTCCCAAAACATACTCTTCTCTCCACCCCCTGTAACTGTCCTGGGTGTGTTGCCAGTTCTCGTAAAGTGTTTGTCATGTGAGAAATTGTGTCCCATTTTTAATTTGCAGTTCCTTCCTTGCTGGTGTGAGTCTGTGCTGGTGTTTAATGCTGGTTGGTGTGTTCTCTCAGGTTGTAGGGCCTTGGCTATTTTTTGTTTTACTGTTTTTTATTGCTTCTTTAATTGATTTAACAGATATTCTTTAAGGTTTTAGATATACACGGTCTCTTTGCAAATGATTTCTCCTAGTTTGACTTCTGTGTTTTCAGATTTTTCTTGTGTCTTTTGCTATGGCAGGATTTTTAATGTAATTTGTCAGCTTTTTCCTTTATTAGCTCAAGTTCTGCCAGTTTTTTAGGAAGTATTCAGGGCCTTGGAAGAGTCCCTAAAAGCTTAGACATTTTTATGCTTGACAGTATTTTTGCAGTTCCTGGTTCAGGAAACTTTACCTTTTATATGCTTACTTTAAATTTCATTAAGGTAGAGGAAGGGGGATGTCAGGGTTAGAATATTCTAATTTTAATCCCTAATCCTATATCCAAAACCTTCAGTGCTTGATTACAAAGTCTGAGATGAATTAAAATACTTCGAGCATTCATTCCTTCTGGGCCTCTTTTATCACTCTTTAGATTTCTTCCTGTATGCCCATCGGTTTCTTCATTCTGCCTCATCCAGAAGAACCTCTTGCCTCCTGCCAGCCTCTCCTTTGTTTTAGTCAGACACTCCTGGTTGTTAAATACCTTCTCCATGATCCTTTCACTCTGGTTCCCTGCCACCCAGCTTACGGGTGTCCTAGCCTGGGCATGGCCGACAGTTCATCCTCATGCTTGGGCCTCCCTGCGGAGAGTGTCAGCATTGGCATTTCTGCTCCTGAAGCTTCCCCTCCTTGGCTGCTGGGCCCTGTGTGTGTTTTGCTCTCTGCCTGTTTTTCTACCTTCCTGATCCCTAACGGTCAGTATTCCTTGGTCACATCATCTCTGTCTTTTGCTTTTCCCTTCGAAGTATCTTACTTTTTCACGTGAACTACATGTGCAAACAGGAGTCCTCTTTTCCCCTCTGATGACTGTTGTCCTTCTAAGTTCCCTGTCCCTTTAATTGGCCCCATAATTCTTGCAATCATCCAGACTGAGAAATGTGTAAGTTTTTTTGATTCTTCCCTTTCTTACTCCTCTCTTCCAACTTTGAATAGTCTACTTACTAAATGTTTCTCAGATCTCTTCTCCATAGTCGAGGCTCTGTCTTTATGAAGCCAGCATAGGACACAATACAGGGTCAGAAGGGATGGACAACAGACCAGGTGTAAAAGGGGCCATGGGATGCAGGCCAGAAAGCAAATTCCTCCTACTGCTCAGTCCTCTCAAGAGTGAGCCGGTTCCTCCCGTTTGGGGGAAGGATTTATGATAAGACTGAAGGTCAGGTTACAGAGTAAAGGATGTAGAGGGGAGGGTCTTTTCTGAAGTTCCGAATTAGTAGAGACATTGTATGGAGACCAAGGTCTTTGACCATGCAGGGCTCAAGAGGTCACATTAAGGATTTTCATTCTCAGAACCAAAGGGCAAATCCAGTACAGTTTGAGGTGGGAGTGTTTTCCACTCACGTTGCTCTTGTTCTCTTCCCTTAATGGCCTGAGTTCTGGAGTGAGAGCAAGCAGAGCCCCAGCCCGTCTGGTACCTGATAGAGTGTCCGGCGTAGTGGGCATTTGGGGACTGGGTTTTTAATTGCTTGACTTATTTATGACGGCTTATTTCAATGCCAGCCCAGTTTTTCCTCCTCTCTGCCACTCCCCACTCCCCCAGCATTCTACTGCCTGGTCGATAGATCAGATTGTGCGATTTCACTGCTGGCTACTTGCTGCCTTTTGAATAAAATCCAGACCCCCAGGTCCCTAGCCTGGTGGTCAGGGAACTCTCACCCTAGTTTTTGTTCCCTTATCCAACTGGATGTCTTAAATTCCAACCTTTTGAATTTCTCGTTATTTCCAAAACACACATCTGGTCATCCCCTGTGCCTTTGGCAGTTTATTTTTTCCATCTGGGGTGCTTCTCCCCCTTCTGTTCTCTAGGACTTCTCGTGCCTGTAGTTTCTCCTGTGGCATCTGCCCTTCTCTAGGCGGACTGTGGTGTG